GAAAAAAGTTTTTTGTTTTTAAATACAAGCTATTGTGACACCAGATGTAATTGGTGGCACTGACTGGGGAAATGGGCACAGTATGCACTGTGAGCCTGACACAGAAACTGGCAGCAGTGGCAGACAACTGACTGCTATTCAATCTATAACAGTGAAAAAAGTTTTTTGTTTTTAAATGCAAGCTATTGTGACACCAGATATGAGTGGTGGCACTGACTGGGCAAATGGGCACAGTATCCACTGTGAACCTGACACAGAAGCTGGCAGCAGTGGCAGACAACTAACTGCAATTACATTACACAGAAAAAAAAAAAAAAGCATACCCTAACCCTAACCTAGCTATGCATTTCCCTATCTAATCAACAGCAGCTACACTTTCCCTCCTCTCACTAAGCATGCAGCTTGAGAATGAATCTAAAATGGATGCTGTCCAGTAGGTGGGAGGGTCTGCTAGTGAGGGTGTGCTGCTAATTGGCTGGAATGTGTCTGCTGACTGTGAGGTACAGGGTCAAAGTTTACTCAATGATGACGAATAGGGGGCGGATCGAACCGCGCATGTGTTCGCCGTCCGCGGAGGACGCGAACACGCTATGTTCGCCAGGAACTGTTCACCGGCGAACCGTTCGGTGCATCACTATATATATATATATATATACAGTGTCGTACTAAGTGGGGGGGGGGCGGTCCGCCCCAGGTGCCACTCACTAGGGGGGTGCCCGGGGCAGACTGCAATGCCCCTCCTGCAACCATCGCCGAGACCGGTCTGCAGCTCCACAATGTGCAAAGCTGCAGAAAATGTGTCTCGCAAGTACTGCCCAATCAGAGCATTGCCGTGGGTTACCACGGCAACTATCTGATTGGGTCTCATGAGATCCATGGTTTGCAGCTCTGTGGAGCTGCAAATCGGAAATGATGGCCACCGGACCACCAGGGACCCCACCGGACCACCAGGGATTTAAGGTAATTTTTTAGTCCCCCCTGCATCTTCCCCCCCTCACCTCATCACATCACCCCCCCTCCCTCTACTCATCACATCCTCCCTCTCCTCATCACACCCTCCCTCTCCTCATCACATCACCCTCCCTCCCTCTCACAATCACACCCTCCCTCTCCTCATCACCCCCCTCCCTCTCCTCATCACCCCTCCCTCTCCTAATCACCCCCTCCCTCTCACAATCACCCCTTCACAATCACCCCCCTCTCACAATCACACCCTCTCTAGCACTATCACCCCCTCCCTCTAACAATCACCCCTTCCTCTAACAATCACCCCCCCTCCCTCACTCCCTCCCTCTCATCCTCACCCCCCAAGCTCCCTCTCACTTCACCCCCCACACACCATTACCCACCCCTCCCTCTCCTTATCACCCCCCTCCTCCTCACAATCACCCTCTCTCATAATCACCCTCCCTCTCACAATCACTCCCTTCCCTCTAACAATCACCCCCTCTCTCTCATCCTCACCCCCCGAGCTCTCTCTCACTTCACCACTCCCACACCATCACCCACCCCCCTCTCACCATCACCCCTTCCCTCACATCATTATCCACTATACAAGCACACACAGACACACACTTATACATGTGTGTCTGTGTGTCTGTGTTTGTATCAATGTGTCTGAATGTGTGTGTGTCTCTATCTGTATGAGTCTGTGCCTGTGTGTCTCTCTCTCTGTCTGTATGTGTGTGCGTTTTTATCTATATGTGTTTGTATCTGTATCTGTGTGTCTATCTATATGTGCCAGTGTTTGTCTGTGTATGACTGTTTCTATGTAACTGCATGTGTGTACCTATGTGTCTGTGTATGTGTGCCAGTGTGTGTATATGTAACTTTATGTATGTATGTATATGTACATACATCTCAGCATTTCGCCTACATTACACACAAATACAACCCTGCATCCAAATGTCAACACTACAAAAAAAACACCACCATATTAAAAAAACCACACTACAGAAAAATGCACTCCTGCATTCAAATGCCAATACGTATAACAAATACAAGCAAATAGTGCGGGGAGCTTCACAATCAATATTTCAAAAATAGTGCATGTGGATGATGTGACTGATATACAAGTGCTTCCCAGTGGCACCAAACATAAGAAATCAAAGATAAATAAAATATACCAGTCTACATACAAACTCCAAATATGTGAAATAATACAAAAAATAATACTACCATGAGTAGAGATATATTAGAATAATACCTATAAAATAAAACACAATATAGTGTGAACCGTTTAAAAACAGAAATAAGGCTAGCGTTCCCAGTTTCAGCAGTTTTCTAATGCTGGGTTCCACCCCCATGGCACTCTGAGAGTTACTTTATTTTATTTGTATTCAATAAATTATATTTTTTTAACCTATGCCAAGTCCTTTTTTATCTTCATATACTGCTGAAACTGGGACCACTAGCCTGAACTGGCACCCCTGAGCCTGCTATACAGAGCCTGGTACGGCTCTGGGAAATGTGAGTGGTAGTCCTAAGTTACAGCATTATTTCTGTTTTTAAACGGTTCACACTATGTTGTGTTTTATTTTATATCTAATATATCTCTACTCATTGGGGCAAATATAGGATCCGTCCCGGGTGCCAAATGCTCCAGGTACACCCCTGTGTGTGTATACATATATATATATATATATAAATGTATACACACACACACACACACACACAAACACACACACACACGCATACACATACACATACATACATTTATACACACTATATAAAGAACTTATAAATGAATACTCACTAACAGAGTGGATAGAGTACCACTAAAACCTATTCAGCCCTGTGGGGATTAGCTGCTGGTGATCGTAGGATCCAATCTGTATATTGCACTGTACATGCACATACAGCAAATATGAATGAAACAAGTTATCAGTATATTAAATAACTTTACAAGCTGCTATTATTGACTTCAGGTATGCCCCTTTTCTTTTCAGCATCATCTCCTGATGGATGAGGTTTATAAATAATGAACACCCTGTAGGTTTCTGTATAATATAGAAAGGTAAGAAAGATGCCACAATGTACATGGTAGAGAGATGCGCCAAAGTTTTAGAAAATACTTTTCTTTCCCTACTGGGAGACAAGCAGCACTAAAGCTGATGTAGAGGTGAAGGTTAGAGTTGAGCAGACACCTAGATGTTCGGGTCCAGCGGGTTCGGCCGAACTTGACCCCGAACCCTATTGAAGTCAATGGGGACCCGAAATTTTGGCCACAAAAATGCCTCTAAAAACTCCTGGAAAGGGCTAGAGAGCTGCAAAAAGAAGTAAAATGGGGGTAAGACAAGTGCCCTGCAAACAAATGTGGATAGGAAAATCACTTAAAATAACATAAAAATTAAAAATACAGCTGAGCCATAAAATAGCACTAGATGGAATCTTTGATTTTAGCTTTGGAAGAACATAAAGCAAAATCTAAAGCATGGCTGTCAGGAGGATCACCAGAATTATTCATTTGAGAGAGGGTTGGAGTGCAGGGTATTCTCTTTCATTGTTCAAACTGAGCTCAACTCCTGATACATGGAGAAAAGGCCTTCACAAGCCTCTGCTAATGTGTACCTAGTTTATACTAAGTGACCCATAGGTTGAGGAGGCGGTGACCGTGGCGGTGGAGGATGAGGTAGCCAACACTGTTATTTATGTTTTTTTTTTTTTTTTTTAATTGTGGTAGCCCACAAAATATTTGGACATACAACAACAAAAAACATTTGCGCCTGCGGTGCATTTCTTGCAGTCCTGATCCATGGAGAAATGCTCAACTCCTGATGCATGGAGAAAAGGCCTTCACAAGGCTCTGCTAATGTGTACCTAGTTTATACTAAGTGACCCATAGGTTGAGGAGGCGGTGATCGTGGCGGTGGAGGAGGAGGATGAAAAAGCCAACACTGTTATATATACATGTATATATTTTAATTGGGGTAGTCCCCAACATATTGTGACATATAAAAAAGAACAACTCTGTTCCACAGAGTAGCTGTTGACATTATAGTTGCACAGGCACTTTGTTGACTCTAGAGAACCTCGGGCCAATCGCACATCCCCGTGGTGGCGACTTTGCATGTGGATGTCATTCATATCAACTTTCTATGCCAGTTTCTGCGCCTACCACAGGTAACGGGGAATCAGGGTTCCATTCCGTACAGGGACCCTGAGAAACGGCTACCACATGCAAGGAAGTGTCATGGGTGGCGGTCCGGTGCCCGGGACCCAGACTCTGTCACGGTTGGCGGTACGGAAACCAGGACCCCTGAGTGCCTGATGAAAAGTTAGGAGTCTCCAGCGTGGAAGTGTATTATAAGGGCCTGGTGCAGGGTAACCACACATCCTCTGGCGTTGAGCACCAGCGTTTGCGCAGCCACATACCAGAACCCTGATGCAGCTACAGCGGATCCCAGGAACTAGGAGCTTGATATGCAGACCTCCCAGGAACTGGATAGGGGGGCTCTGCAGAAGACATGTATCCAGTACAGAAACAAGGCAAGTCTAGGATAGTCACCAAACGTGAAAACAAGACAAAACTAATAGAACCCAGAACCAGAGCAGTACAGAAAGCAGAACATGTACACAAGACATGAGGAAAACAAGAAGAGGGCAGGACAGGACAGTACATGAACTGGGATTACAAAATAAAACAAGACAAGATATAATAGGCAAAACAAGAGGAGACATAACTAAGCACTATATACAAGGTCCTACACTGCCTAATGTTCGCTAAAAGAACCATACTAAACCACAATAGCACTTACCTGCAAGAAAGGGCAGAGACTTGAAACACTGCTGCAGGTCCAGACTGAAACAAAAGGAAAATGGAAAACAAACTGGTGTGTCAACATAAAACAAACATATAAATGAATCCAGGAGACTGGGAATTCTAGGGACGGATTCCAGGAATGAACCCAGAAAAACCCAGCATAAAGAAAACCAGACACAGAATAGAAAACCAGAAAAACCAAGAAAAACTAAACAAGAAATGTAAAAAGAGTACTGGATACCAGAAGCCAAAGCCAGGCATCTCCGCAGAACATGGCATGATGTGACAGGAAGGCAGCAGGCGCGCAAATGACCCACTCCACGCGGGAAGGTAGTGACGACAAATAACAATACAGGATTCTTTAGAGGCCCTGTAATTGTAATGAGTCCACTTGAAATCCTTTAACTCTGATCAATTGGAGGGAAGTCTGGTGCAGAGCCACTGACCCGTGCGTGCTGCAGCTGAAACTCAACTATCGCCTGCTGCTGCTCGCACAGTCTCGTGAGGCAGTGAGCGGGAAGGCCGAAGTTACGCAGCAGTGCAGACAGGCAAGCAGCAGCAGGGTGAAAACACCAAAAACGCACACAGCCGCTACACTGAATGTCACATCCTGTTCCAAGTTGCGGATTAGTCTGGTGATGGCTTCTGGTATCAAGTACTCTTTTTACTGAAGCTGCATCAGGGTCCTGGTATGTGGCCGCACAAACGCTGGTGCTCAACACCAGGGGGTGTACGGTTACCCTGCACCAGACCCTGCTAATCCATTCCACACTGTGACTCCTAACTTCAACATCAGGCATACTGGGTCCCGGTCGTCTGACCGCCACCCAGACAGTGTCTGGGTCCTGGTCACCGGACTGCCCACCTCACTGTGAAACTACGAATGGATAGTTAAATCTGGTACGAACCCAAACTTTGCAGTTCAGGTCCGCTCAACTCTATTATGGATCCTTTGATTGCTACATGTATTACTTGGATAACTTGTAATTCTCGAGCTAACACATGCCGACGAGCACTAGGGGATGGCCGCTCCGCTTTTGCACCTTGCTCCCTCTTATGCTGTGCTGGTGCCTCTGTGCAACCAGCGCCTCTTCCTCAAAACTGCACACGTCACTCGCATGACCTTGATTCCATGAGAAGATATAATAGGCAAAACAAGAGGAGACATAACTAAGCACTATATATGAAACGATTGGGGATTTAGTTACATTATATGATCATACATTGCATAAGCCTGCCACAACGCCAATGTACCCCATATTCTGCAGGTCCTACACTGCCTAATGTTCGCTAAAAGAACCATACTAAACCACAATAGCACTTACCTGCAAGAAAGGGCAGAGACTTGAAACACTGCTGCAGGTCCAGACTGAAACAAAAGGAAAATGGAAAACAAACTGGTGTGTCAACATAAAACAAACATATAAATGAATCCAGGAGACTGGGAATTCTAGGGACGGATTCCAGGAATGAACCCAGAAAAACCCAGCATAAAGAAAACCAGACACAGAATAGAAAACCAGAAAAACCAAGAAAAACTAAACAAGAAATGTAAAAAGAGTACTGGATACCAGAAGCCAAAGCCAGACATCTCCGCAGAACATGGCATGATGTGACAGGAAGGCAGCAGGCGTGCAAATGACCCACTCCCGACGCGGAAAGGTAGTGATGACAAATAACAATACAGGACTCTTTAGAGGCCCTGTAATTGTAATGAGTTCACTTGAAATCCTTTAACTCTGATCAATTGGAGGGAAGTCTGGTGCAGAGCCACTGACCCGTGCGTGCTGCAGCTGGAACTCCATTATCGCCTGCTGCTGCTCGCACAGTCTCATGAGGTGGTGAGCGGGAAGGCCGAAGTTACGCAGCAGCACAGACAGGCAAACAGCAGTAGGGTGACAACACCAAAAGCGTGCACAGCCGCTACAGTGAATGTCACATCCTGTTCCAAGTTGCGGATCAGTCTGGTGATGGCTTCTGGTATCAAGTACTCTTTTTACTGAAGCTGCATCAGGGTCCTGGTATGTGGCTGCACAAACGCTGGTGCTCAACACCAGGGGGCGTACGGTTACCCTTCACCAGACCCTGCTAATCCATTCCACACTGTGACTCCTAACTTCAACATCAGGCATACTGGGTCCCGGTCGTCTGACCGCCACCCAGACAGTGTCTGGGTCCTGGTCACCGGACTGCCCACCTCACTGTGAAACTACGAATGGATAGTTAAATCTGGTACGAACCCAAACTTTGCAGTTCAGGTTCGCTCAACTCTATTATGGATCCTTCGATTGCTACATATATTACTTGGATAACTGGTAATTCTCGAGCTAACACATGCCGACGAGCGCTATGGGATGACTGCTCCGCTTTTAGACCTTGCTCCCTCTTATGCTGTGCTGGTGCCTCTGTGCGACCAGCGCCTCTTCCTCAAAACTGCACACGTCACTCACATGACCTTGATTCCATGTGGAGTCTAGGACCTCATCATCCTCCACATCATCTTCCACCCACTCCTCAACCCTGTCCTCCTTGCCGGTATGCACACCGCAGAAAGCCACAGCACCTGTGTTTTTTCCAGCATGTAAAGTCTGCAAAGGACATTTGGAAATTGTTTTAGAATTTCCTCCAGGCAACAGTTTTCCCTTTCAGTTTGACTTGTGAGGGTATTGCCCCAGAATTACAATATTGTTGAAGTACCTCTTAGCTATTGATCACTGGTTTAAATATAGCAGCTTGTTATCTGGTAGTTTCTAGTGTAGAAAATATCAATCTGTTTTCTATCATTTAGATCTGTGTTTTAGGTGTGAAACAATATTACAAGTGACCGATGTAGTAAATTCGAATCAAAGTTACGCTTCGATTTGACTCTCAGATATGAAGTGAACACCCCAAATATACTATTTAGCACCAAAAAAAAATTTTACTTTTTAAAACTCCAATGTAAGCAGCAGATTAGCAGCAAAACAATTAGAATGTTTACAACTGCGCAGTAAGCTCACTATTTGACGCTTCTATTTGACTCTCACATATGAAGTGCACCGCAGGACGCAAATGTACTATTAGGCAGATTAGCAGCAAAACAATTAGAATGTCTACAACTGCGCAGTAAGCACACTATTAGACGCTTCTATTTGACTCTCAGATATGAAGTGCACCACAGGACCCAAAATGTACTATTTAGCAGATTAGCAGCAAAACAATTAGAATGTTTACAACTGCGCAGTAAGCACACTATTAGAAGCTGCAATTTGACTCTCAGATATGAAGAGCAGGCCACAAAATGTACTATTTAACAGATTAGCACACATAATCTTCCACCCATTCCTCAACCCTGCCCTCCTTGCCGGTATGCACACTGCAGAAAGCCACAGTAGTTGGCACCTGTGTTTTTCCTGCATGTAAAGTCTGCAAAGGACATTTGGAAATTGTTTAAGAATTTCCTCCAGGCAACAGTTTTCCCTATAAAATGACCTCTAAGTTTGACTTGTGAGGGTATTGCCCCAGAATTACAATATTGTTGAAGTACCTCTTGACGCTTCTATTTGACTCTCACATATGAAGTGCACCGCAGGCCCCAAATGTACTATTTAGCAGATTAGCAGCAAAACAATTAGAATGTTTACAACTGCACAGTAAGCACACTATTAGATGCTTCTCTTAGATGTGAAGAGTAGGCCAAAAAATGTACTATTTAGCAGATTAACACCCAGAAAATAAGAATGTTTACCACTGCACTGTAAGCACACTATTAGACGCTTTGATTTGACTCTCAGATATGGAGAGCAGGCCCCAAAATGTACTATGTAGCAGATTAGCACCCAGAAAATAAGAATGTTTACCACTGCGCTGTAAGCACTCTATTAGACGCTTCGATTTGTCTCTCAGATATGAAGTGCACCGCAGGCCCCAAAATGTACTATTTAGCAGATTAGCAGTAAAATTTATAGAATGTTTACAACTGCGCAGTAAGCACACTATTAAACGCTTCTATTTGACTCTCAGATATGAAGAGCAGGCCACAAAATGTACTATTTAGCAGATTAGCAGCAAAACAATTAGAATATTTACAAGTGCGCTGCAAGCGCACTATTAGACGATTCTATTTGACTCTCAGATATGAAGTGCACGCCCCAAAATGTACTGTTTAACAGATTAGCACCCAGAAAATAAGAATGTTTACCACTGCGCTGTAGGCACACTATTAGACGCTTCTATTTGACTCTCAGATATGAAGTGCACCCCACTAAAATACTATTTAGCAGTTTAGGACCCAAACATTTTTAAGTTTTAAAACTGCAATGTGACAGCAGTATTTGATGATTCTATTTGACTCTCAGATATGAAGTGCACCCACTAATGTACTACCCCACTAATGTACTATTTAGCACCAAAACTCTAATGTAACCGTGGTATTTGAAGCTTCTATTTGACTCTCAGATATGAAGTGCACCCCATCCCACTAATGTACTAGTTTGCAGAATTCTTTCCTAAGCTGTCCCTATCAGCGGCAGCATCCTCTCCCTACACTAATAAGACCGCATGTGCGTGCGGTGCTACATGACTCTAGCTTATATATGGAGGCTGGGTCACATGCTGCACTGGCCAATCACAGCCATGCCATTAGTAGGCATGGCTGTGATGGCTTCTAAGGGCACATGAGTCAAACGCTTGTTGATCGGCTGCCCTGCAGCCTTTCAAAATGCGCCATTAAATTGACGAACACAGAACTCCAACCCGAACATACAGTGATATGTCCATGTTTGGGTCCGGGGTCCAAAAAAAACTAATGTTCGGTACGAACCCGAACTTTACAGATCAGGTTCAACTCTAGTGAAGGTAAGTTTACTGTAAAATTCTTAGTAGAATGCCAAATTATATGCATGTATATACGTTACTGGTAGAGAATGTGTTAAAGCCACATACAGCTTTAACACCAGAAAGAATTATTACAACCATAATACAGTTGCAAGAAAAAGTATGTGAACCCTTTGGAATGATATGGATTTCTGCACAAACTGGTCATAAAATGTGATCTGATCATCATCTATGTCACAACAATCGACAATCACAGTCTGCTTAAACTAACAACACACAAAGAATGAAATGTTGCCATGTTTTTATTGAACACACCATGTAAACATGCAGGTGGAAAAAGTATGTGAACCCCTAGACTAATGACATCTCCAAGAGCTAATTGGAGTGAGATGTCAGCCAACTGGATTCCAATCAATGAGATGAGATTGGAGGTGTTGGTTACAGCTGCCCTGCCCTATAAAAAACACACACCAGTTCTGGGTTTGCTTTTCACAAGAAGCATTGCCTGATGTGAATGATGCCTTGCACAAAAGAGCTCTCAGAAGACCTACGATTAAGAATTGTTGACTTGCATAAAGCTGGAAAGGGTTATAAAAGTATCTCCAAAAGCCTTGCTGTTCATCAGTCCACGGTAAGACAAATTGTCTATAAATGGAGAAAGTTCAACACTACT